GGGGCCCCAGCCCAGAGTCTCTCAAGGGTTCCCTGTACGGCCTCCCTTTGCTGCTGTCTCCATTGTGCCACACTCTGCTGCCATGTGCCACTTTCAGGTCTCTCACACTGCTGGTGTGTTTAAATTTTTTGACATAGGGTGAAGGCAGATTACGGGCCACATAGCTGCTGCCAGGGCCCCTAATTGGCCATGGGCCCTTATATACCCGCCTCCTCATTGCTGCTTTGCCAATTCCATAGTCTCTCAAGGTCCCTGTACGGCCTCCCATTGCTGCTGTCTCATCGCCACACCTCTCTGCCATGTCCACTTTCCAGGCTCCTCACACACTGCTGTTCGTGTTGAATTTTTTTTGACATAGGGTGGCTGGCAGATTATGGGCCTCCCATGAGCTACTGCCAGGCCCCTAATCTGCATGGCCCCATATAACTATACCGCCTCCTCATGCTGTCTGCCAAGGTCCAGAGTCTCTCATGGGTCCCCTGTACTGCCTCCCGTTGCTGCTGTTTCCATCGCCACACTCTGGCCATGTGCCACATTCAGTCCCCTCTTCATATACCGCGCCTCCTCATGCTGGCCTGCCAAGTCCCAGAGTCTACTCATGGGTCCCCGTGTAACGGCCTCCCCATTTGCTGCTGCGCCAGGAGGCAGCAGGGTCGCAGCAGTGTCAGTGGAGGCAAAACGGCCACGGAGTAGAGCACCAGCTCCACTGCAAGCCTACCCACCACGGCCAGTTAGTGGGTGCCGGTGTGCACGGAGGAAGTAGCAGTCAGCCAGTGAGGAGTAGAGGAGGCAAAGTTTCCTACTCTGCGGTGTGTGTGGCAATTTTTCGTCAAGCCGCCCCCCGAGGAAGTAAACGTAGCCGTATGTCGACTATGTGGCTAGAAAGTCAAGCGTGGCCAGGGGGCCCATGTTGGGACTACAGTGTTGCGTCAGCATATGCAGCGTTCTTCGCCATTCGGTGGCCTGGGAAAACCGTGATAAAAGATACGGCGGTTCTGCTGCCCCAGCCCAGGGTTCCATTTTGTCATAGGGTGCTGGCAGATTACAGGCCTCCCATAGGTGCTGCCAGGCCCCAAATCTGCCATGGACCCCCGTACCGCCTGGTCACGCTGCTGCTGGGCCCACAGTGTGACCTGGGTCCCTGTACCGCCTCCCATTGCTCCCACTCTGCCATGTGCCACTTTCAGGTCTCCTCACACTCCTGCTGGTTTCCATTTTGTCATAGGTTGCTGTATGGCCTCCCATTGCTGCTGCCTCCACCGCCACACTGTGGCTCCAAACACTGGTTTTGGCCCCGTGACTGGCCAAATGAGTGAAGTGTGCGGTGATTCTAAGATCGACGGCACTCATCTGCATGTCATACTGAGTGACAGTATTATTTCTCTTCCCCAGCAGACTCCAAGGGCATTTAAATTAAAGGTACAGTGTTCTGCACTAATATTAAGTCTCTCTGAAGCCTAGAAACACCCTTTTTTAAGTTAAATTCACAGCGAATTTATTCGACTCGAATCGAATATTGTCCACGAATTCGCCGAATCAGTCGAATCGAATTTTTCATTTCTTCGCTCATCTCTATTTGTTACTGTAAAATCCCTTTCTCTGAGTCATTAATGGACACAGTTCTTCTCATTCTTGACCGTAGAGTTTTATAGAGCCACCTAAAGGAGTAGGACACTAGGCAGAAAAGAACACTGCACCACCTATGGGCAGTCCTAGCTGGTATGAACCCCCTCTATGCTATAGGCAAGCCAATTGGTCACAAAGTAGTATAAGAAAAGCAGAAGAACCAAAAAGATCCCCCACCCTGGAAACAGGGATGAGTACCTGTTCATGGACTTTGTGGCCTTGTGAAAACTGGAGTGCTTGGCCCCACCTGCAGGAGCCTTGAAGTGCTTGTAACCCTTGTCTGAGGATTCAGGGGAAGGAAAAAGCCTCTTGTGCAGAGAATGAAGGACCAGACTTACAACACTGTTCTTTCCTATTTTTAGATTGTGAGAGGAAGGTACTGTTGCCACTGGTAAGGTTCTTGATGAAGTCATCCAAGGTAGAACCTAAGAGATGTTGACTTTGGAACAGTAAGTCCGCCAGGGCCTTTTTTAGATGTCTGTTCAGTGGACCAACACTTAAGCCAAAAAGCTAGCCAAAGCACTACTACCAAGATGAAGAGCTTGGAGAGTAGCAGGGCTGCATCCGGGGATGCGTCACTTATGTACTTAAGGCCCTGTACTGCATACACCAGGTAAATCTGTCCTGGCACAATCAGTAAGTGTCTGAGACATCAGGGCCATGGCCAACACAGGCCGCAGTGCTAAACCGGCAAAGGTAAACATAGTGCGGGTGACCGATTATGCTTTACGGTCTGTGGGATTCTTAAAGGTGGGCAACTCCTCCACCGGTATCATGGTAGCTTCATTTAACCGAGATACAAAGACATTCAGAAAAAGGAGGAGAGCTCCACTTTTATAGTGGGCCGCCTCAAAGGGGTAACGTACCAGAAAATGCTTTGGAACCACAAAGGGGAGATTCAGATGTTCCCACTCTTTGTAAATAAATGTATCAAAATATGCAGGTAATGAAAAACCTTAGCGGACCTAGCCAGCTTGTGTGTACCAAAGAGAAAGGCCATCTCATCAGCAGCCCCAGAAGTATTCTCAATTTTCAACGTCTCCTGCACAGAGGTAATCAGTGCAGCTAACAGTGCCTTTTTTTGCATGGCAACAGTGGCAAAGGACTCATTCTTGCAAATTGAGGAATCAGGGATAATGACATACGGTACAAAAAATGGCCACTGCCCAGTCTACAACTGGCCTTCACAGCAAGGAGCACATGGAAGGGCATCATATCATACGGGCCTGCAGAGAAAGCCGGGACCACAGAGGCTGAGCATGATTCGGGCTCAGAAGCCTCCGAAATGGCGGGTGAGGGCAGAGGACACTTCTTGCTACACCTGAAATCCACATCCACCAAGGCACGAAGGCTTTGAGGACTGCTAACAGTGCATCTAATGGAACAGAAGCCCCAGAGGAACCCACCGCCTCCAGGGGGGGTTTGGGAGGGGTAGCTTACACCTGAGACTTCATAAGGAACCCAGCACTTCTGAGGGAATCCCACCAGGCACCAAAGACATCAAAAACACTCATGAGCAGTCACAGCAGAGAGGGGAGCTACCCCAGAAGGACTCATCACTGACCAAGAACCCAGCTGCTGTGGAGGAGCACTGTGAGCTGTTCGCACTGTGCTGAGTCTGGAGCTTGCATGTAAAGCATGCTAATCGGTCCTGAGCTAACAGGAAAACAACCCCTTGTAATGCAAAGGAAGCACTGGGTGAATGTATGATGACACAGGAAAAGGGCCACCACAATTTCCAGCAAAGTGAGGTCGCCCAAAAGTAACTCAGGTCTATGTGGAAAGGACCGTGCCAAAAAGGCCGACCGCCAGTCCCCAGGAAAATGGCAGCTGCCAGTCCAAAGGAAAGTAGTCACTGCAACACACATATATGGGCACAGCAAAAAAAGGCTGTTAGCGCATGTCTCCAAAAGACAGGCTGCCACCCCCCCCATTGTCAGGAGCTAAGGGCGAGAAGCCCCTAACCCGCAGGTACCTGCACCACATCCCAGATAGCAAGACCCACTAGGAGGGCAATGGTGTCAGAGGAGGGAGGTGCTGGAGACCATACTGGCAGCCAGACAGGCCTGGAGGGGAGGAGGAGAACCCAGCAGGGCACACCTTCCCAGGGAGTATTCACGCCTCAGGGGAGGGGGCATCTACTTACTGATCCACGGATGAACACCGCCAAGACATGTCTGCCCCCCCACCGGAGTGGGAAGTGCTGTCGGCTAGGGTAGCAACAGCAAAAAAAAAAAGAAAAGAATCCTTAACTCTTGTCCCTGTCTTAAAGGCTCATTCACACTTTCTTTGATCTAAGAAGAGAGATTCACATTTAACCCCTTGATATCCACACTATCACGTCGCAAACTCATGCATTGTGTGCAGGCTCAGGAAGCTTGCAGAGTAGCTCCATTCACTTGAAGTGACAGCGGGTATAATTCATGCCATGAAACACAGCAAGGCAGCAGCATGTGTACACCCCCAACTGCTGCGTCTGCACATAAAGGGGAGTATTAAAAACACAGCTCAACTGTGGGGTGTTACCACCTTTCAAATGCTGATGTGAATGAGCCCTAGAATGAAAAAAATAAAAACATACTTATTAGACCTTGGAGTCCACCAGCATTGTCTCGCTTGAAACATAAGTATTCTCTTTTCTGCTCTTCACCAGCACTGTCATCTTCCATGGAGATCCAGCCTATTCCCAGACATGCTGCCCTACTGTGCCAGGTCTGCAGAGACCCCGAGGGGTGTCTGCAAATGTGCCAGATTCCCTGAACATGTGCAAGTCACACCACTGATCTTTGCCAGTTCTCTAGCCTAGACTGTGCAGCGCATGCGTGCATTCACATACTCAGTGGCTTGCAAACTGCTCCGGGAATGGCAATAAACAAGATCTTGTGCACATGTATGACTCATGTAGCATGTTTTCGCATGCATCAGGACCTACATCATCATCCTGTCCTTCACCAGGATTAAAGACACAAAACAAAATAATTTTAAAAGCTGTACCATAACTTCATGAAATGAAATAAACAAGTCCCATGAATAGAAGACGAAGATGGGCAGAAGATTGAAAGGTCTGCCCCCTCCATTCATACACTGTGTTTCATTCATAGACGCTATTGTACAGCTTCTATGAATGGAGGAGCTGGGTGGAAAGGGCCGGCATAGTTGGGCACTCTTGATGAAAGCTTGTCTCCCCTCACTCAGCTCTATTAACCCCTACGGAAAGATTACAACGACGGTGGTATCGGGGGATGAAGATTTCAAGGAATCCAGGAACCAGCAGCACAAGGGACACAATTGTCTCTTTTGATACTTTTTTTTTTTTTTTTTTTATATTGACTAAACTTAGGCTTTACATGCATTCCAGAGAAGCTCATTGAAAGACAGCATGGGAATGCACAGACTGAAGAGAAAGAAATAAGACATAGCAACCATATCTGATTTGGATGCCTCTTACTGAGGTGCTTTATTGGGGTTAATAAATAATAATAATCAACCATAACAATTACAATATTTATACATAGAAAGACACACAAAGGCATGTCAACTGGCATTGCAAAGCATGTAAAAGCACGCAATGAAGCACATCAGTTTGCACTGAAATTTGCTGAGGTACATTGACAGCTTTTGGTGAAATACTCACCTTCTATCTAGAGCAGTCCCCCGTAATTCCTTTCCACTTACCACTAGATGACATTCCTCATCCAGGTTGAATGATAGCCCCTGTCAATCATTCCACTTTCCCTGAGCCCAAGCTGTTATGTACCCACCCCCTTAGGGCGATGTCTCCAAACCACACCAGTACAACTGCACTGAATGGCACTGAATGGTGCTCAATATAAGAGCATCATTAGGAGCAGGAGAAAGAAGATGAAGAGGAAGGACCTGTGATGATGGGACTGGCCAGAAAACTCCTGGCCTGAAAACTCCTGGAAAAATAAGGCTGCCATTTCTGATGTCCCCTAAAAATACTCTTTGCTTTGGTGGTATACTTTTACTCTCTTGTTTTAGTACCTAGAGTCACTAGTTATGCAGAAATAAACTTTGGACATGTCCCTATCTTTCCTTATGTGTTCATTAGTTTTAGGTGATTGAATAACAGATGAAGACCCAGCATCTAGCATTCCTGGAGGAGGACAGAATGGATGGGTCCTTGATAGATTTACTCTTTTTAGAAGGTTCATTGACAGATTTTCAGAATCCTTGGCTCTAATCCACATTTATTCAGTACTTGTTTTTCCTCTTGAATACCCTGGAAAAAAGTAATGTCAGGATTGTGCAACATAAACTGCCATCATGTTTCCCCTTTACATCTACAATTATTGCATCATTGTAATGTTTCCTCTTTATGCCTACAGCCATTGCACCATTGTAGTATTTTTGAACTTTAGGAACCATGCAAAGGGTGGAGTAGTGTTAGGCTGTACTGGATAAACTCAGTAACAGCAACAGCGTGAGCAAGTTTAGTGATTAGTGTTCATTCATAAGTCTTTCCCAAAGCCTTGTGCACATAGACATTTGCTTGCATCTTAGTTGCTTCTCTTCCCAATACAAGTCAATGATGAAGATCTGATAAGACGTGGAGGTCTGTAATAGCCTGTCAAATGCTTTCTGAAGAGTGATCCGAGCATGGATTGCTCTGCAGAGAGCAACTCAAATGTACACGAGCCCTAAAGGAATAGAGGCTAATTACTTAAAAGTTAGTGAGTAAAGTGAAGTTGTGTTTATGAATATCCCATTGTGTGTGATAGATATAAAAAATGTGACTGGGTTGCAAGCAGTTTGAAAACTGTTCAAGTAAGTCAGGTTCCGGACCAAGCTGGCGT